AGCGAGCGATTTCGGGACTGCCTGCATCATCCGAGGAACGAGTTACGACAGGTTCGCGTCGTGATGACCCTGGCGTTGCTTTGACACCGCGGGGGTCGTTCAGCCTCGAACGATCGGCCGCTTCCGAAGAATCAGAGTGTTCGGGGTCGCCGCCAGTCAACACGACCCGATCCTGCCGCACAGCTCGCTCGCGTGGCACTGAGAACAAAAAGCACCGGTCCCCCGAGGGAGGCCCCGCTGGCCACCTGATGGGGGGTCGCTCGGGACGCGGCGTCGTGGGGCCCCCCGCCAGCCAGACTCTGCCTCGTTCCGTCCAAATCCCACCAGCCCTCTGGGCGTAGGGGGAGGAGGAGGAGGAGGAGGAGGAGGAGGAGGAGGAGGAGGAGGAGGAGGAGGAGGAGGAGGAGAAGGAGGAGGAGGAGGAGGAGGAGGAAGAGGAGGAGGAGGAGAAGGAGGAGGGAGGAGGAGGAGCAGGAGGAGGAAGAGGAGGAGAAGGAGGAGAGGAGGAGGAGGAGGAGGAGGAGGAGGAGGAGGAGGAGGAGGAGGAGGAGGGGTTTAACGAGTTTGACCTTCTCTCCCCCTCCCTCCCCTGCCTGGGGGAGGGGCTTATTACTGCCCTCTAATAACAAATAGTTACCCCCTCCCGCAAGCGACCAATGCGGGTACCCGCCCCACCAGCCGTGTCAAAAACTCTACGACGTCCACCGTGTGGTAAAACCTTGGCCGTGACCGGGGGGGCCACGAGCCCATTGTTTTTTGACTGGGGCGGCGGGGTGCCCGCATATTGCCTGCTGCGCGCAGGGCCAGCATCCCCGTCAAACGCGATATATGCATATATATATATATATCCATACGTCTATACCTATATGGATATGTATATGTGTGTGTGTCTGTCTGTCTGTAGGCATGTGTATGTGTATGCATGCATGCATGCATGTATGTATGTGTGTATGTATATGCATGTGTGTATGCAGTTTATGTGTGTATGTGTATGTATATATGTATGTATGTGTATGTATGCACGTGCGGATGCAGGTACAACTGTATGTATTATGTACGTAGGCATGTATGCACGTATGTCGGTATGTATGTAGGTATGTATGTATGTATGTCTATAGGTATGTATGTATGTATGCATGTATGTGTGTATGTATGTATGTATGTATGTACGTATGCATATACACGTGCATGTATGTATGTATGCATGCATGCATGTATGTATGCGTGAATATGTATTTGTGAATGCGTGGATGTATGGTTGCGTGTTGTGTGTATGTGTGTATGTGTGTAGGCGTACATGCATGTGTATGGATGCATCCATGCATGCATGCATTATGTATATGTGTCTGTACGTCTGTATGCATGTATGTAGGTAGTTATGCCTGTATGCTTGTATACATGTAGGTGTAACTGTAGGTGTAAGTGTATGTGCATGTGTATGTGTATGGATGTATGCGTGTATGTATGTATGTGTGTATGCATGTATGTATGTATGTATGCGTGTATGTAATGCAATCCGAGGCGGCATCTGGATCATGCGCGGGCACCCCGCGACTCCTTGCATTGGTTTTGACTGGGACGGCGGGGGTGCTGGCCTATTGCCTGCTATGCGCAGGCACACCCGAAACTGTGACGGCCAACCCGCCGCGATTGAGCATTGGTTTTCGACAAGCGTGGTGGTGGCCGACAAGTTTCCCGATGTGTACTGCCACGTGCGCAGGTGCACCTGGCACACTCTGCGCGTGCCCCGAACATGGCGCAACTGGCGCGGCTGGAGCATGCGGCACACATGGCGCACGTGGATCACGTGGCGCATCTGGCGCATCTGGCACGCTTGGTCCACAAGGGTGCCTGGCGCACATGGCGCGCGTGGCGCGCCTGGCACGCCTGGCGCACTTCGCCCTAACGTTGCACACATGGGGTCTTTTCGGGTTCCCATTAACGGTCCATCCAAAGACCACCGATGAGCACGCTGCGGCTTGGGTGCTACTTATGTGTTTGGAGGGCGGGTCGGGGTGAGCGAGACGGCTTGCGGGCGGGGAAGGTGCCTCGATCCCTGCTCCCTATTAACCTACACCCCCTCCCCAAGGCGACTGGGAGCCAACCTGGAACAATGCGCTCCCCCCACCATCCCTTGTACAACAACCATACAACATACACTCTGCCTCCAAATCCGGAGCATGCGCAGCGAACCCGATGCGGCCTCCCCCCCACCATCCCTGCCAACAACAATACAGAGAACACTTGGCGGCGGCGGCGGCTGCGGCGGGGGCAGCGGCTGCGGCGGCTGCGGCGGTGGCGGCGGCGGTGGCGGCGGCGGCGGGGGCGGCGGCGGCGGCGGCGGCAGCGGTGGCGGCGGTGGCGGCGGCAGCGGTGGCGGCAACGGCTGCGGCGGCAGCGGCTGCGGCGGCGGCGATTCGGCAGCGGGGGCGGCGGCGGCGCGGCGGCGGCGGCGGCGGGCGGCGGCGGCGGCGGCGGATGTGGCGGCGGCTGCGGCGGATTCGCCCCCAGTAGCTGCCCATCCAAAGACGATTGCTGAATATGCTGCGGCTCGGACCAGGTTCGGGTGCTACGTATGTGTTGGGAGGGCGGGTGGGGGTGAGCGAGACGGCTTGCGGGCGGGGAGGGCGTCTTGACCCCTCGCCCTACCCCCTCCCCTGGGTCTGGGAGGGGGGGGTCCAGGTAATTAGGGCGTACAAGATGGCCCAAAATGGCTCCAAGGGGGCCGTCGGCAGCCGAAGAGGGCCTTCAAAATGGCTCAAGATAGCTGCCGACTTACCTCCAAGAGGCCCCAAGGCAGCTTCAAAAAGGTTCCAAGTGCCCTTTCGAGCCCTTCCTGGGCGCCCTCCAAGAAACCACACACCGTTCAAACGCTTCGGACAAATTCGATGTTCGATGTCGATGCCTTCTTGCTTGTTTGCCTCCGATAAGCCTCTGAAGCCTCAAAGACGACCCCAAGATGGCCCAAGGGAGCCCCAAGAGGGGCCCAAAAAGGCCCGATGACGGCCACAAGAGCGCCCAACAGACGCGCAAGAGCGCCCCGAGAGGGCCCCATGAGGCTATTTTGCGACCCTCCGAGGGAGGAAGGGGGCTAAATCAAGTACCCACCTCTTTTTGAATCATGGGGACCCAAACGGCCCCAAGAGACCTCCCACCCACAAAGCTTCCAGAGGGCCCCAAGAGGGCCCCAAGAGGGCGCCAAGAAGGCCCCATTAGGGCCAAAAGTGTCTCCAACATGGGGCCACCCAGGGGGAACATCTACATCCCAAAGCTCCTCTGTTTGAGCCATCGGGCCCAAGACGCGACACGTCCACAGGCAACCAGTGACACACGAGGGCAACAGGTAGCCAGCGATACGTCGGGAGAAACAGGCAACCAGCGACACGTTGCGTAGGATGTCTGGCGATCGTTTCTGGATAGGCTGGTGGGGGTCCTTTTTTCGTCCGCGAACGACACGGAGCAAGCGCGCGCCGTCAGAGAGCGAAGCGACGACGCCACGTCCTTGAAATTAGGCCCTCAGCGACAGGAGCGGGCTACGCGGCCACTCCGGCGGCGAAAACGACGCAGAACACCGGAATTCTGGCGGGGATGCGTGAAGCGTGAAGAGTGTCATTTCGTCCGTCCCAAGTGGTCTGAAGTTCGATTCGTTCAAGTCGGCCTGGCTTCGGAAGAGGATGATAAGAAAGAGGACGCAAATCAGGAGGACGAATCGAGAGAGGACGGAACATAAGCGGTCGAAATGAAAGTCCCCCCCAGCAATGCCCTGCCTGTATGTCTCCACGTCTAAGGCAAAAGAACGATCCTCATGATATGCAGCACCCCACAACCCACAAGCGAATCCCTTCAACAACTGTGCCAACTGTACCAAACACGGAACCGAACAGGGCAGGGCTGCTCAGCAAATGCTCAGGACTGGCTAGTGAACGCCTGCTTGTGAGGGAGCCCAGTCGACTCTTCCTCCCATGCACGCCAGCATCAGGTCGGGCATGTCCTCCTGCAGATGGATTTTGGACGACAAGATAAAAATAGTCAAAAAGTATTCCAAACAATTCACAAACAGTCAAAAAAAAGGTGCCCTGACTATTGTTTGCAGTGCTTCTGAACCTTCCTCCTGTAGAGGGACAGGCCCGACGTAACGCCAGCCACCCCCCAAAGGCTGCTGGCGACTCCGCGCCGCGTGCCCCGTCACAGTCAAAAACCCTAATCAGGACGCGCGGTAAGGACGCAAGACCCTTGGAAGCCGAAGTTGGGATGTTTGGGGCGGCGGGCGACGAAAACCCCAAGACGAAACCAAGGAAGGACGGAGACGCAAGAGCAAGGAAGAGCAAGGACGCAAAGGGTACCCCGAGCAAAGCCGCGCGTCCTTATTAGGGTTTTTGACTGTACAGGGTGCGCCCACGCGCCCACCCCGGGCGCAGAGCGCCTGGGGCCGGACGCGAACGGACTCGCGCGCGACGGACAGGGATGACGGGGCCAAGGACACACAAATAAATCCACACAGATCAAAGGATTCCCCATATTTTCCATATCTTTTGAGAGTTCTCGTCTTCCCCCCCGCTTTCCCTATTTTCCCACATTTTCCTTAGGATCGACGATGAATTGTGTCTCTGTGTGTCTTTGTTCCCTCCTGAAGGGAGACTCGTCGCAGCGCGTGCCAGTCTGTCTGGCGCCCTCGATCGCCCCCCCCCCCCCCCGGAGATGTCTCGTCGCGGTTCTCCCTTCCCGGCGGCCCTCCGCACTTCCCCCATCCCTCCCTCCCACCTTCCCCCCCCCGCTGCCCCATCCCCTACCCCCCCCCTCTTCACATCCCCTTGTACTCCCATCCCTTCCCTCCCGCCCCTCTCCTTCCGTTCCCCCAGTGTCGCCCCCCGTCCCCCTCCCTCCCCCAGATTCTGTGTGGCGCGTCCGATCGCACCCCATCGACTGCTCAGCGTCCGCCCGCTGTCCTGTGCTTCTGCTGCAGATCTCGACGGTGCAGTCGGTTCGTTGCGCCGCGAGGC